GGCCAGAGGAAACTCGGGCTAGTTGGTGGGAGGTAATGAAAATGGCAGGAGTTTTTCACTGATTTTCATGAATAACCTTTCAACGATTGGAGAAACGTAGGCTGAAACACTGTTCAAAAATAGTGTTGAATATCAACGGAAAACGGTGTCTCTTTACGTACGGAGCCATATAAACACAACGCTAAATCTGTCACTGATTATGAAAAGAGTGACGCGACGAAAGAAGAAAAATGAAAAATAAATGACCCTGTGTGGAATCTTTAGGTAATAATAAAAAAAAAAGACTTGGGTTTTCACGAATATTTATCAATACAAATTGACAAGTTGTGGAAATTTGGGTTTAAATTGGTTATAATGAGTAGAGGGTCAAATTTCATTAGGAAAGGGGTCCTTTACGGAACCCTTTGCACACATTGCTAAATTCTTGATAATCTACAAGCTTTGCAGAAGAGTTATAAATACTACAAAAGAAGATATTTAAACAAAAAACGCCTGGTTAAAGGTACTGTGTTATTATGTATACGAGATATAGGCATACTGTTACTGAAACTGTATGCAAACAGAGGTATGCTAGTATATATACACAGATTGAACTACTTGACCCCATTACTGGAATTCTTCCTGCAGTCTGAACTGTGTCATCTTACACATGAATGACTTTCTACAATTCTAATTCACCTTTATGTAACCTTCATTACAGGTATCGGAAATGATTGATAAGATGTTTTCGTGAAATATAGTTTCACAAATATAAATTTCAGAAATCAGACACTACGGGTGTTATACGCGAAAACAAATATATAGGTTTCGTCCAGTATCATTTGCTGCCGAGTGTCAGGATGGGGGAACGCGCCAATAGATAACATTAAGGATGTTACCTGTCAGTCGGGCTTGTGGTTGCATACTTATACCAGACGGTGTCAGTGCTGTTTTTAAACCGTAGTAGCCAGACATATAACAGCAGACACAGTAAATAATGTGTATTTTTAAGTTCTTTGCCTACACACACAGTACCACAATTAAACTCTCTGTGCCGCATTTCTGTAGACAATTATATCAATCTGAAGCGTACCTTACATATACTGTGTATGCATTATACCTACCTTGGTACCGTTTATATCCCATTGATAATGCTAGCACTTATCTACACATCCTAACTGTTGTACTGCCGTCAGCCTCCCCGGAGCCACTGTGTATGTTCTGACAACAGAAGCAGTGCCACATGCGGTATATAATCCCATCCCCTGGGTAGTCATTAGACTAGCTATATAGCGCCATTATATACACTTATCCACTGTATCCAAACGACATCCGCGTGTATGTATGTACACTGTCGGCCGACAATAGCCCAGACTGGCACAACACGTACGTACACACAATTGATCAATCCGACTAAGCACTACCGAAATAGAAAGTCAGATATATACAGTACAGAACGTGATTACATATCTTGCGATGTGCCATGTAAGACAAAACACTCACATTAAGGATCACAGAGTGCAAAAATGTCAGTCTGCGCTACATAAATATTTTCACGCAGGCCATCCTCGATATTACAAATTCGTATATTGCAATTTTGCTTGAACAGATTTAATTTCTACGATGGAATGCCCGTAGGCTTGCCCATCTTTCAGCCTAGTATTTGTCCCAGTCCCTTGCCAATAACTTGATTTAATATTCTTCGCTCGAGACAGCAGAAGTTGCTGGTGCATTACCAATATCGAATTATTTCGATCGACCAAAGCTACTGGAATTGTAAATTATATTGGAGACTTTTGACCGACCACGGTCATTTTCCTCATCGAACAATGTTCTGATACTTTGTCTATGGTATATAGGTCAAGATATTTGTCTGTGGTATTGGCCAAGATATTTGTCTGTGGTATTGGCCAAGATATTTTGTCTATGGTGTTAACAAGGATATTATGTCTGTGGTATTGGCCAATATATATTGTGTCTGTGGTATTGACCAATATATTGTGACCGTGGTATTAGCTAAGATATTATGTCTGTGGTATTGGCCAAGATATTGTGTCTGTGGTATTGGCCAATATATTGTGTCCGTGGTATTGACCAATATATTATGTCTGTGGTATTGACCAAGATATTATATCTGTGGTATTGACCAATATATTGTGTCCGTGGTATTGGCCAAGCTATTATGTCTGTGGTATTGGCCAGGATAATTTGTCTGTGGTATTGACCAGGATATTTTGTCTATTGTATTGGTCAAGATATTTTGCCTGTGTTATATGCCAAGATATTTCGTCTGTGTTATAGGACAGGATATTTTGTCTGTGGTATAGGCCATGATATTTTGTCTGTGGTATAGGCCATGATTTTTTGTCTGTGGTATTGGCCATGATATTCTGTCTTTGGTATAGGCCAAGATATTTTTTCTGCGGTATTGGCAAGGATATTTTGTCTATGGTATTGACCAGGATAATTTGTCTATTGTATTGGCCAAGTTATTTTGACAGTGTTTTATGCCAAGATATTTCGTCTGTGTTATAGGCCAGGATGTTTTGTCTGCGGTATTGGCCAATATATTTTGTCTGTGTTATAGGCTAGGATATGTTGTCTGTGGTATTGGCCAGGATATGTTGTCTGTGGTATTAGCAAGGATATTTTGTCTGTGGTATTGGCCAAGATATTTTGTCTGTGGTGTTAAAAGGATATTTTGTCTGTGAAATTGGCCAAGGTATTTTGTCTGTGGTATTGGCATTGATTATTTTGTCTGAGGTATTTGCCAGGATGTTTTGTCTGTGGTATTGGCAAGGATATTTTGTCTGTGATATTGGCCAGGATATTTTGTCTTTGGTATTGGCCAAGATATTTTGTCTGTGGTATTGGCCAGAGTGTTTTGTCTGTGGTATTGGCAGGATTATTTTATCTCTGGTTTTTGCCAATGGTATTCTGTCTGCGGTATTGACAAGGATAGTTTGTCTGTGGTAGGATGGATATTTTGTCAGTTGTATTTGCCAGGATATTTTGTCTGTGAATTTGGCCGGACTATTTTGTCTGTGGTATTGGCCAGGATATTTTGTCTTTGATATTGGCCAGGATTATTTTTTCTGTGATGTTAACAAGGATTTTGTGTCAGTGGTATTGACCAGGATATTTTGTCTGTGGTATTGGCCAGGATATTTTGTCTGTGGTATTGGCAGGATTATTTTTTCTGTGGTGTTAACAAGGATTTTGTGTCAGTGGTATTGACCAAGATATTTTGTCTGTGGTATTGGCCAGGATATTTTGTCTGTGGTAGGAAGGATATTTTGTCTGTGGTAGGAAGGATATTTTGTCTGTGGTATTGTCCAGGATATTTTGTCTGTTGTTTTGGCCAGGATTATTTTTTCTGTGGTGTTAACAAGGATTATGTGTCAGTGGTATTGGCCAGGATATTTTGTCTGTGGTATTGGCATGGATTATTTTGTCTGTGGTATAGGCCATGATATTTTGTCTGTGATATTGGCCAAGATATTTGTTTTCTGTGGTGTTATAAGGATATTGTGTCTGTGGTATTGGCCAGTATATTATGTCTGTGGTATTGACAAGGATATTCTGTCTGGTTTTGACAAGGATAGTTCGTCTGTGGTAGGAAGAATATTCTGTCTGTGGTATTGACCAGGATATTTTGTCTGTGATATTGGCCAGGATAGTTTGTCTGTGTTATAGGCCAGGATATGTTGTCTGTGGGATTGGTCAGGATATGTTGTCTGTGGTATTAGCAAGGATATTTTGTCTGTGGTATAGGCCATGCTATTTTGNTAGTTGTGGTATGGACAAGGATATACTATAGTTGTGGTATGGACAAGGATATATTATAGTTGTGTGGTACGGACAAGGTATATATTTTAGTTGTGGTATGGACAAGTATATATTATAGTTTTGTGGTACGGACAAGGATATATTATAGTTGTGTGGTACGGACAAGGTATATATTTTAGTTGTGATATGGACAAGGATATATTATAGTTGTGGTATGGACAAGGATATGTTTTAATTGTGGTATAGACAGGGATATGTTTTAATTGTGGTATAGACAAGGATATAATATAGTTGTGATATGGACAAGGATATAATATAGTTGTGATATGGACAAGGATATATTTTAGTTGTGTGATATGGACAAGGATATACTTTAGCTGTGGTATGGACACGGATATATATATGTTTTAGCTGTGGTATTTATTAAAAACATATTTTGTATGTGGTATTGGTAAGGATATATTTTCTCTTCGGTGAAGACGGATGTATTTTAGCGGTTAAGATCGTATCATTAAACTTCAGTCGTAATCTCAAAAATCAAGATTATGTATTAAATTCGGACTGCGTCACCAATCAATATTTATTTCTTCAGTTTACATTCCATATCTCGACAGGCTGAAGACTATATACGTATTTATCACATACCTGTTGAATCTTGTTATATTAATACTAGCAATTTTCAGACCATGAAATACAACGTTCTGTATTGCACATGTGCAATACGGAATGTTGTATTTACCTACTAGCCGGAACTACTTTTTATGAGAATCCCCTTGTCATGGCGAACTGAAAAGTTCCCGGTATTTGCAAAAAATATCAAAGTTTATAAAATCTTTGTATCGATCTCTACCAAATACGGAAGGTATGTGATAAAAGCAAGACCACACACTTGTGGTTTTCTAACGAATCAGAAAGTACTCATTTATTGCGCGGAAGTATATCTTCACTCGTGCGCTCCGCGCACTCGTGAATATACTATTCGTCCTCGCAATAAACTCGTGCTTTCTGATTCGTTAGAAAAACACAAGTGTGTGGTCTTCCATATATATTGTTAGAATATTGCATGTGATAAAAGAAAGGAATTGATAATTGAATAAAAATTACAAAACCATGAACGAATAAAGAATGAGCGGAAGAACAAACAAACAAGAGAAGCACTGATGAAGTGATGAGAAAAGACAAAGAAAAAAGCATACGGATGGAAGGAGAACGATGACTAAAAATCCGCTTACGTATGAGAGGTTGATCTGAGGACCCAGCCCTGAAATAGTATGACTGTCTCTGGTAAATCAAATTACGTAGAAAAGGAGATGACGGGCGGAACTTGGGCGTACAGCGTTGCATTCATATTTCACACAAATAGTAACTAGTCTAGTGTATAAACGTAGGTTATGATGATCAACCATGCATCAAATTATATAGCAGTTTATGTAAAATCTCGTAAAATACTCTCATAAATAATCTACTCTATAAAGCTCGTACGTTAATTCATATTAATTTTGATATATAAACAGCAACATAATATTCGATAAAGATTATTTATCATCCGTGGTTGAGTTTTCCTTATAAAGTTGAAGTTTGTGTATTTGAGATATATACAATCACACAAGTAGTCCAGTGTATGAGATGTAGCTTATTACGATCAACCATGCATGAAATAACAGATTCATGTAAAATCTCGCAAAAGTATCCTTATAAATAATCTACTCCATAAAGCTTGTATATTTTTGTACGTTTTCTTATATTTTGATAAGAAAAAAAAACAACATTATATTGGAAACACAAAAAGCATCAACAGTGTTTGAGTGTAAATTCCTTGTATAATTAAAGTTTGTGTATTTATCAGAGTCATACTGACCTTTCTAGAACACTCAAGGCTAGTTTGGTCCCAGCTGTGCAACACTGATTCCAAACTCTCCCTTCACGGTAGTGTATTTAGATGGAGATCGCTGTTATTGTACACTTATGTGACCATCCAATGTTTTGTATAAGCGATGTTAGTCGTCCGATGATAATACAGTATTTAACATTGATATGACGACGCACTGTTGTAATATAAGCCGTTGATGTTATATAAAAATGTACCATATGAGTGCCCACTTACAGATCCACGTGGTAATCGGTCAATTTCCTGATGCTATGCGTAAGATAGGTTTTTCCGGCGAATAGGGTCGTTAGCTCAGGAAAACCACCCTTTCCTATCCCGGAAGAAAAATTATGACAACATATATATATCAAGTTGAGCAATAAAATTTTACAGAAAATTTAGTTTGGATCACAAAAATAAGGACCGATTTCTACTCATTATACCATTTACAATGTTCTGTTACCTTAATCTAAAGATAAGGGAGCGTGTTGAAGTGTTGTAGACTGATAAGAAAAACATATGTAAATTACATTATCTTCTTAAGATTAAACTTCACCATCTGTTTTAAGTCTACCGAGATTAACGCTAAAACCTCTCCTTTTTTACATATATATACTGTAAGCATCACTTGTCTTAGATAGATTTAAGCTACATACATAACATCATGATTACGAGACTAGAATCCACGTCGATTTCAGAAATCGACTCCTTACACGCCCCCATATATAGGCAATTGTATGGTCGTCAAATATTTATTCCTGAATTGTGATCTCATGCAAGCACTTGAAAGGTTGTCCCATACATCAAGTTATATAATATGACTATGAAATACCAGCATTTATACGTTTTGTATATAAAGGATCGGGTGCCTTTAAGGGCATTTAATTGGCCCTCGAATTCCAATTTTTTTCTAAACCGGTTAACAAAATTCTTTCTGAGGCTCCAAACGGGGTTAAGTGCTAACATCATCAAATAGAATACATATCCTTTTAGACCTCAATATAAATAATGTGAAAATCAGAGCTCCTCAACCTCAGCTCAACAAAATACGATATTTTAGACGCCTTATACACATAAGACTGTACCGCTCTATATAGAAACCCGTATGCTTGTTCTATACAAACACATCAAAGTAAAAAACAAATGTATTACTGCCTCATACAGACAATTGTATGGTTATGTCATGCATGCATGTCTATTTACAGTAATATGACTATCAAAAATCAGCATTTATACTTTTTGTTTTGTATAAGAAGGATGGATGCCTTTAAGGGCGTTTAATCGGCCCCCAATTTAACTCCGACTTATTCTAAACCGGTGCAAGGATGTTATTGCCTGATAACACAATTGTTTCTGGTGCTCTAAACGGGGTAAAGGGTAAACATAATCATATAGAATACATATATTTGTAACCTAAATATAAATATTTTGAAAATCAGAGCTCCGGTTTTTCTTTAACCTCAACCTCATCTCAACAAAATACTATTTTTTTTTCAACTTCCTTTAACTCATTCACCCCTGAAGACACATTTAAACTCTTCCAATTCAAACGTTGGTATTGTTCATTATGAAAATTAAGGGGTGAATGAGTTAATATGCAGGGAAATCTTCCTTTAGCCATGCTATATCTTCACGTCGAAAGTATGGAATAAATGCCAGGTTTCCATACCCTATATGAAGCCACGGTCGCATATTACGGTCACCGTAGTGGGGAATGACCGTAGCTGACTGTAGTAGACCTTAGTTAAACGTATTAAACGTAGTGAGACATAGTTCAGGGGGCGCGGTTGCCGAGTGGTTAAGGCCTCTTACATTCTGCTACCAATACTAGAGGGTTCGAGACCTACCTGGGGCAGTCCCGAGGTACTGGCCGTAGGTCGGTGGTTTTTCTCTGGGAACTCCGGCTTTCCTCCACCAGCAAAACGTCTTGGCACGTCTTGAAATGACCACATCTGTTAATGGGACGTAAAACACAAACAAACAAACCAAATGATACATTGTAAGATTTTGTCACGCATTTGTTATCACCTAGAACAGAAATTGGCGTAACCCAGTGGCAAGTATACATGTGCAAGATTTTTTAATAATTCTGATTGAATCCGCATTAACAAAATATTGTTTCGAAAATGTTTTCTAAAAATCAAACTGATTAGAAAGTTACACTGTATGAAAGGGGTTTTTTTCACATTAAAACAATAACTAATCTGACTGCCGTAACCCGATTATTTAGATACTTTTATTTATTTGTTTGTTTATTAATATAAACTTTATTTCATTTTTGTTTGTTTGTCATTTACAGTATTATGTAAAGCAATACACAATTGTTGGAATTAAATTTGGAAACAAGTTTTACAACTTATGTAGATCCATCTCCATGAATGTTTATTTATTATTTATTTCTTATTTCAATATGTTACACTGAGGCAAAATTGATTTTCATTATTACCTCCTTTGAAACAAAATCCTATTCTTTACAAGTTTACCTCTATCCTATATGGAGCCTCAAAACATTCCGTTTGACCAATTGCTTGCAGTAGCTGTTTTGTTACAAATACAAGACAAGAAACCGCCATTTCACACACTATGAAAGAAGAAGTTACGAAATCAAGGGCCCAGAAACAGTTTAAATATTCACCCATTCTTTTTATGACTATACTATATTTATAGACCTGTTTATAGCTGCCCCTATACAAAAAATGTATGGTTGTACCATACACTAAATTTGGATGAGTGTCTATAAGGCCCTTTTTTGGGCCACGATTTATCTGGATTTTCACCTCCTTTATTTGTTCAAAGATGTCTTATTGTATCACATACACAAAAACTAAGGTAAAAGTTTGACCGAAAGTAGGGTAAATCACAAATATAATTTGCTGTTTTCAAAATTAGCTAAAACAACCAAAATAATACCATTTCTGATTTAGGAAACATGTGTAAATTAAACAGTCATATATAAAAGAATGACCAATTACAGAAATGCAATCGTCACTTAAAGATTGTTTATATAGAACGGATGGTTAAGTCAGGGGCTTGTTTTAGGTAATTTTCAAATGAAAAGTGTTTTGTTTTCTCAATAATTTCCTTCCTAATTTATATTTTATGTTGAAATTTACAACTTAACTCATTTGAGTACACTTACATAAACTGCATATTCACTATACACTTTCCTTTTGTTGTATACTGAGTTCAACGCCTGTGGATGAAGTGAGTTCCAGGTTCTGATTTGTGTTCTTACTTATCAAATTCAACTTACAAATAAAAAATGGCATTTGCCACCACAACTACTGTAGAATGATTAATTCAATATATGAAGTTTGATTTGCTGGCAATTTTAAGTCTCCAAGCCTCAAGGAAAAAGTCTGTTTTAATCGTTACAGTTAACCCATTTCATTGTTTTATCAATTGTTCTGCCTATTTCCAATAACAAGTACTGACTGTACATGAAAGGCATTTTGGGATAAGCTTGCAACTTGGCATATGTATTAGTTATATGATGATATTTAATTTGTGTAAGTTTCATACTTATCCCACAATGCCTTTTTACTTTAAAAAACAGGTTTCTTATGTTTTGGAATACAAGGACTAAAGTGCATCTCCTTGCCTAACACCAAATAATTCCTTGCGTTACTAGTCTATACGACTTAGTGTCTCTTGGCGTATTCAAAGCATTAAATATCTGGTCTTTGATCAGCCTAGTATGTCGTACGCACCTCTGCCTACTATAAACACTCTACTGAGCCTGTTTAATATACATACTTTATATAGACCGGTATTGTAAGGGAATATTTAGTGTTAGGCAAGGAGATGCACTTTAGTCCTTGTATTCCAAAACACAAGAAAAAAGGGCCTTATAGACACTCTAAGCTGGGAACTCAAGAGGGACAACAAATATTTTGAAAGTAAGCAGAAAAGCAAGAAAAGACCCAACAAAGAAAGAAAAAAACAGAAGAAAGGCGAGGTGGTCATCTCTTACCTTAAGGGATTTTCGAAAATTAAACTGCAAAACATCCAAAGAAAACGTCGTAGCGTGACCTTACATTATCAAAAGAGGGCTTGGTATCTCACTTGTTGAACACCGGACATTCACCGAAATCCAAGACTAAAAGAAATGTTTCAGGTCAGACAGGAAACAATGAGATTCTCAGAAAAAGAAATTGGCAATCACAGATGTTAAATAAAAAAATAAAAAATAAATAAAAACCTGATTGGGACCACTCTTAAGTGACCGACATGGAGAACAACTGGCAAGGTGAATTTGGACAGTTATTCGTTATACGTTATTCGAAAGTAAAGAAAAGTAAAGCTACTAGATCTGCATTTAACAAGAGTCGATCATGGTACAGCTTAAAGTAATTGTAATGAAAGTAAGACTGATATAAACAATTGTGCTAAACCATACCGGAAACAATTAAACAAGTAATCTAAAAAATATATATTACAAAATGTGCGCACGACTTACGTGCGTCGGCCAAACACAACCCAGGGTAATTTTGGAAAATTCATCAAAAATCAAAATTCTTTGACAAAAAAACAAAGATAAAGTTAAATGACAATGATGATGATGAAGATGTCATCCTTAATGATGATGCTGCTGCTGATGATGATGATGATGATGATGATGATGATGATGATGATGATGATGATGATGATGATGATGATGATGATGATGATGATGATGATGACGACAACGACGATGATAATGATGATGGTGATGATGATAATAGAGACATTACACTTGATGAAGTAAACGTATTCAGGAGCTCAAAATGGTAAGTCACCGGTATATATCAGGTGTTGAACGAAAATATCAAATGTCTACCTAATGATTTACGTCTAGTAATATGTTAACTTTTTAACATTATTTTTGACTCTTGAATCCTGGACAATGGGGATAATAAAACCAATTTACAAGAAAAAAAAGGGGACCCTATGGACCCAGATACCTACCGGCGTATTACACTGATAAGTTGTCTCTGGAAACTGCTTACCCATATTTTGAACAACAGACTCAATGACTACTCAAATAAACATAATGTACTCTCTCCAAATCAAGCAGGTTTCCGTAAAGGTCATGATCACTAAACGGTTGACAATAGTTTTGTATCGCTGTTAACTTTATATTTGGCCAGTAACAAACACCTGTATACGACTTATATTGATTTCAGAAAAAGCGTTTGATACGGTTTGGAAAGTAGGACTATTTAAAAAAATGTATAAAAGTAAAATGTGAGGCAAATGCTTTTCTATTATCAAAAAGATGTATGGACATAGCAAATCTTGTGTAGAATAAAAAAACCCACTACGTCTCTGTTATTTCCCTGTCTAGTTGGTGTAAAGCAGGGTGAAAATATGTCCTCGTTTTTATTTTCTGTCTACCTTAATGATATGGAAGAAGTTTTTAGAGCCAATACTTCACTCCCCTTGGAACAATTGAAAGATAAATTTCAGACTGAACTGAATATGGTGGTGGATCTTTTCGTCCTGTTATACGCCGGCTATACACTTCTCCTTTCCGATTCTGCTGAAGGTTTGCAAAATGCTCTTAACGTTTGCTCTTTTCGAAATACTGTGACATGTTAAATGTTAACGGAAGCTTTGTGAGCAAGCTCAAAAATCCATTTTTTCTGTGTAATCGTAATATAAAAAATCAACATGGATCTGACATATGGGGTTACGAAAATATTAAAATAGTAGAACAAACTCATTTGAAATTTTGCAGACGA